TCGTCAGTATGACGGTCGCAGTGCGTAAGGAAGAAGAAAGAAGAGGAGGAAGAAGGGAAGAGAGTAGAGAGAACCGGATAAGCGGAAAAAGGAGGAAGAAAAGGAGAGAAGATGGAAACTAATGGAAAGGGGAAGGGAGAGATGGAAGAAGATGTCGAAGACGTGAGTAAATTTATTTGTACTGTTATTAGACTACCCTTTTCATCCTCTCCCCCTCCCTTTCCCCACCCTTCCTTCCCATCTCATATTCTGTGTAGAGTGGACCACTGAATAGCAGCAAAAAATAATAAACAGATTATTTTCAATTTGGCATGCAGTTTTATTTCAGGCAGCTCGAATTGTCAGGAAATATTGCCCTGGAATTGATAAGAAGCAGTTCAGACAACTGAAAGATACATTGCGAAGATCGCTGAGTCAAATACAGGGCTATCGGGAATTGTGTGATATTGTTGAAAGTATGCGCAAAGAAAAATATGATCCTGAAAATGAACAACACGAGAAACGGTTCTTTTACGCTGGTTTTTTGAGAAGGCCGCCTATCATTGTCTGGTTTTCTCGCTTTTCATCAACTGTCTTTTCCAGATTACTAAAACTGTGGGATCTTCTGATGCCCGATGAGGATTTGGAAGGGCGAAAATCAGAGCAGTGGCAAAAAATTGGATTTCAGGTTAGTGATTTATACATCTCACTAAAACTTCACTAATTAGTACACTGTATACTTCAAAAGAATTTATAGGCTAGCTGTAGTAAATACAAAGTTTATCTGGAGAAGGTTAAAAAGAAACTGCGTTAAAGAAAGGAAATAGGCAAAATATAATGGACCGAAACATTTCTTACCTAATTTATTATTTCTATTTATATCTTTCCTTTTTTATTCCTTTTTGACCTTTTCCATCATCCACTTGTAGATTTTCCAACTAAATTTTTACTTAACCTTAAATAACTAAAAGTTAAGTAAAAAACTTGCACAAAGAATATGTTAAAGAAAGAAACAAACCGTTTGTTGGCACTTGAATTGCTGGTACGTTCATTTATTTTTGCACGGTTTCATGCAGCAATAAGATAACTACGTCCCGAGCAAAAAAAACATTTAGTAGAACTGGAACTAATTACAGCAAAAAAAAAAAGATACCGGCAATTTTGCACGTGGAATCCGCCCTCTTCCTGTGCCAACAGCAGCCCCGCACTAGCAAGATTCTCGACAGTTGGCTCCCTCTTTCGAGAGTTGCTTCTACGCAAGATGATGGTCCTTTCCATCATAGGCAGGTCGGGGAGGGGGGTTTCA